TTTACAGGCAACCTGCCCCTCTGCACATTAAGTCCATCATTCAGACTCAAGAGATCGATACACGGCTAGGAAGTTGGAAAATGTTCAGTGGCTTGTTGGAGGCTGTATATGGATTGCAGTCCATTTCACCAACTGTAAGCGTGTCTTTTGATGCTCTTATAAACGACAGATGAAACCTCAATCCCCAAACCCACACCACAAGACTGTGATTAACTAAGAACACCCGTGCTTTCCAGTTCTTGATACAGATGTGCTTTATGTGCTGTGAGGGTGCTTGGACTTTTATTAATCATGTTTTGTGGATTTTGTCATGTCAGTTTAGTTCTTCTCGCCCTCAGAACTAGAACATTCAGCACTTACAGTGGAGAGAGAATCCAAACTAGGGATATTATAACTAAAACTGGATATCAATAACTGGATATCAATAAGTAAAACTATTAAAAACTTTTTTATTTGAAATAAAGCTGAAATAAAATATTAGATGAAAAACGTATTAAAAAAAATAAAACTGAAATAAAAAAATATACGGACAGAGTAAAAAATTACATATGCACATAATAAATGGCTAAAAATAAAATCTAAAATATGTATATATTATATATATATATATATATATATATACTGTATATATAATAGTATACACATAATACTATACTGTTCTGGATTGACATTAATTAGAAATGATATTATATATTTTATAATTTTATATTCTATATAAAAATATATTTGAAAAATAGTCAGTAAGTCTGCACATAAACCTACATATAAGAAAGACATTTCTTATTCTGCAAATAAGGTCTCCGTTTTTATTGGGTGACATGCAAAAAAGCAAAAAACAAAAACACTCCACACATTTGTCCATGCTGAACATGTCTGAATAGAAATACAATAGAAATAGAATTACTCGCATACAATGAAATTGGGAAGTTAGTCAAATATTATAAATATTGCACTAATAAGAGAACTATTGATTGAAAACTTGAAAACGGTTCATTGCAAAGTAAAAATAAATAAAAATGATTTGTGTTTTTGTAGGAATATTTATTGTTACTGTATGTTCTGTAGTGCAGTCCACTCATTACTGTTCCAAGTTTCCGCACGAGAATTTAATTGATCAATTATATCATCCCCAAATTATTGCTGAAACATGCTGTTATTCTTTATTGGAGATATTTGCATATGTGCACAAACAAATGCTGTTGACCTTCAGAAAGGTCAGAAGAGAGAGAGCCGCATTACACTCTGAGCGGCTCCAACACGTTGTGTGAAATGAGAGCGAGTGCAGATGCAGCCAGAATGAGATCAATATACCGATTAGAACTGTAATACGCTAATGGTTTGGCGAACGAGCGGACAGAAATAAACCCATGAGCAAAATCAGTGTCATTTACCTCCTGCTCCAAAAGACTCAAATCTTATTCTTATCTTATTCATCTTATTGAAATGAGGTTTCCATGAATCCCTAACAAGTATTTAAAATGTAACTTTAATTATTAATAATTCTAATAATAATAATTGCTTTGTGAACATAATCTCAAATACTGTTTTATTGTTTTTGAAAAGAAAATAGGACCTTAAGAAAATGAATTCTACATCATTTTTATGATTTATTTATTTTTTTTTCAAAAAATATTTTCTTTTGTGTTCAGCAGAAGAAAAGTTTTGGTTTGGAACAACTTGAGGGCGAGTAAATGATGACAAAAATGATGATTTTTGGGTGAACTATCTCTTTAAGGCACTATGATTCAGAGGATTTTTTTTATTTGGAGCATCAAATATTATATTTACTAGAATACAGATATTTTTGAAAACTGTATTCAGAGTTTTTTTATGGCACGACCAGACGCATTGAAGGATAAATCCAGTCTTAGAAGAAATGGTTCTATTTAGAACCAGAAATGGTTCCATCCCCTGCTTCATATGGAACTCCAAAATGGTTCTATATAGAACCATTTTTTTTGGTAAAAGGTTCTATTGGCCAAGTATGGAACCCCGGGGTTCTATATAGAACCCAGAGGAACCCTTTTTTTAAGAGTGTATAGAACCTTTTAGGGGTTCCAAATACGTAGCACTGATAGAACCTTTTAAGGTTCTATATAGAACCTTTTCTTTAGAGTGTGGAGGCGGACAGTGAGCTGGTGTGTGTCACAGTACAAATGTTTTAATGCTTTTTATCAGATCAGGCCACTTAAAGGCAGGAAGCGGGTCGATGCTCCACTCTGACAAAAAAGTAATGCTATTAGCTCTGGCTGTGATTGGCAGATGCTGCTGGAATGAGGGATCATGGGATTGATTGACCGCCTCCGCACTACTATTATGTTGAGGTTCATAAGATCACTCATTTATTTATGAAATATTGATATTGACTGATGCCCCTTCCTGGAGATGATTGTAGTTTCATATGCCTTTATGTAAAAAAGTTTCAGTAAGTGTTCCAGCACAACATCTGGCTGTGTGTTTGTTTTGGACTAGTAACAGACAGGTTTAAGGTCTTAAGGTTTAAGGTTTCAGCTCTTTATCAGAGATGGACACCACATGAATCAATAACTCCAACCAGGACAGAAGCCTCAACCGCTAATGAATACAGGCCGAGCCATGCGTTTCCATTCAGACTCTGAAGCAGGAGAAAAAAACAACTGTTTTATCTGTAAATATTCCAGGATGCACCATGTAATAAGAAAGGGAAAAAATATATGGAAAATAATGAATGAATCAGTATTCACAAATGTAGCAGAAATTATGATTCTTTTTACTTCAAAACAAGAAAAGAGTATTTCAAAATGGGGTGTTTTGAGAGAGGATTGCATTTAGGGTTGTAATGTTGATCACAATTTGTAAGCAAGAAAAGGCCCTTTATAAACCATTAGGCTAAATTGGCATCCACAACAAATAGAATTTTTATGAACTTATGAAAGAACATACCATATAGTGAATTATGGTGTATTTTCACTTATGAGGTTTCAGTTAAGTTAACAACAAATGCGCATTAATGTAAATGTGGGTAAAATCAAGGAATTTTTTTTATTCATGAGTTTACTGTAATTACTCAAAAAATTAATACATATTAATTTTACAGTAATTAGAGTAAACTCATGAATTTTATTTTCCCTTGATATATATCCCATTTTAAGTTTAAAATAAGCTTACAATAAAAGGAGGTTTAAGTTGTCATAAATAAACAACTTATTGGTGTATAAAGAGGACAGTCATATTGAATTATGTGTGTAGGGGTCAAAGGTCATCACCCATGGTGGTTTGGGTGTAAGGTCAAAACTTTTATGGTTGTAAATGGTTTTTGATAATCTGGTTCCAGAGGGTCAAATAACATTGTTTTTGTTCTGTGATTTTGAGTACAGTTTCAAATAGAATGCATTTACAATCATATTTCTTAGCTTTAACTGGCAATAGAAACACACAGAATAGAATAGAATAGAAGAACAATGGAAATAAATGTTCCCTCCGAGTGTTAAGTGATGGATTGATCCTTCGCTCAGCACCTCAGTGGTTTTAATGACTGCATCCGGAAAGCTGATCACAGCACTTTGAGCTCGTCGGCTTTATATTAACAAAGTGAAACGTCACTTGCCATGTTTCTGCAGACGCTGGCCAGAAAATGCTGACTTGCGTACAAAAACAGGCATTTAATTAAAGGTGGCGGGTGGTATATCATAGCAATGGATTTTAGAGATTAATTCCAATATATTTCTATAGGAAATATTCATTTTGCAAAGGTTCTCATTTTACTTTTGCGCAGTGCTGGCTCAGTTTGCGTAGACATGACAACTGGACTTGTGTTTACTGCTCCTTTTCATGGTTGATGGGGCATTTTTATTCTGCTGACTCTAAGTAGGTCATTCTCACAAAGACCAAACTGGCACCATTTAAATACTTGGCCCAAAAGCCATTTCCCCAACCTTTTCACACAACTGCACAACATTGTTTTAATCATGATATTGTTTAAATGCATGATTTCAGATGCACACATTAAAATGCATGACTTAGATGCATACATATTTAAAGAATAAAATAATACAAACTTGATATAATTGCATATAAAAGTGCATACACAGATGGGCCGGTTATATAGTTAGTCTGAAAAATCACTTTGGTTTCATTTTAGAAGCATGAAAATGGAGTGAAGAATTACAATAAATGCAAGATTTGTTAGACACAGTGAGCTGACAATGAACAATGCCTTATAAATATGTTTCAAAGCATAGATCATAGATATATAAATTGCAGTTAGTATATTTTTATATTTAGTGTGATTTGAAATACTGTATACCCAGCTAACAAAAATGTGTTCTGAGGACATTTTTCTAGCATTCCCATTTCTGAACACTCAGAAAAAGGGTACAAAAGCTGTCACTGGGGCTGTACCTTTTCAAAAGGTGAACTTTTGTCCATTTTAGGTGCTAATATGTACATTGTAGGTGCTAATATGTCCATTTCATGAGCTAATATGTACATTTTAGGTGCTAATAAGTACATTTTAGTTGTTAATATGTACATTTTAAGTGTTAATATGTACATTTAGGTGCTAATATGTACATTTTAGGTGCTAATATGTCCATTTTAGGTCCTAATTTGTACATTTTAAGCATTAATATGTACATTTTAGGTGGTAATATGTACATAGGTGTTTATGTACATTTTAAGTGTTAAAATGTACATTTTAGGTGCTAATAATTATGTACATTGTAGGTGGTAATATGTACATTTTAGGAGCTAATATGTACATTTTAGGTGTTTATATGTACATTTTAAGTGTTAAAATGTACATTTTAGGTGGTAATATGTACATTTAGGTACTAAAATGTACATTTTAGGAGCTAAAATGTACAGTTTAGGTTCTAATATACATTTTAGGTGCTAATATGTATATTTTAAGTATTTATATGTCCATTTCATGAACTAATACTGTATGTCCATTTTAGGTGGTAATATGTATATTTTAGGTGCTAAGATGTACCACTAAGGTACCAATATGCAGCCTTTGGGTACAAAAGTGTACCTTTTGAAGAGGTACAACCCCAGTGACAGCTTTTGTACCTTTTTTTCTGAGAGTGAATGGTTAAAAACATCCATTTTTTTCTTGGTTACGCCAATATTAAGGAAACATTCCATTTTCTTCTGCAAACTTTATGGGAATGTTACTTTTGAATGTTCTTGGAACATTCCGAAACAAGCAACACTAGACAAACATCCAACTAAAACGTTTCAGTAAAATAAACATTCCATGAATGAAGTTCCGAGAACATTCCCTGTTAGCTGGGTAAATGACCAAGGATCCCATTTAACCTTTCTAAACCTCCTCTGCATGCACACAGACATTCACGTTCTTGTGTTTGTCCCAGTAGTGACATTCTTCAGGAAAACTGGACACAGCGAAGCTCTCCTTGTGACGACTGACGGCATGAACCAGAAAGCCAGCTAACTGCTTCTCCAGAAGCTCCACGACAGCTTTGGCGTCCCCCTTCCTCGCAGGACCTTCCATCATCTGTCTGATGCTCTCATTGGGCACAGGCTGAGGGGCGCTGCAGAACGACACCACCAGGTTTATGTCGTTTCCTTCAGATACTTCGAAATAATTCTGTCCCGCCACACTCTGAAAGTTCTGTCCGGCTCTCAAGTTCCTGATTTTGCCCAAGTCACTAACGCCTCTGATGGACCAGCTCACCCAGTCGTACTTCTTCACCAGGAAGTCCAGCAGTTCCTTGGCCGTTTCCTGGAGGTTCCCATCCTCTCGTTCCTTCACGAGCCTCTTGATGTCCAGTTCAGCTTGCTCTGGAAACGAATGCACACATTTCTCGATCGCTTCCTTCATTTTCATCTCAATTTCTTGGATCTTTGCGCTCCACTCTTGAATCTTCTCCTGCTCCGCTTCTTCTCCCTGAGTAAGGAAACAATATCCCAGCAGAGCGATTATTCCCAGGCAGAGCAGCTCCTTCAGCCTGACGCAGAAATCTTCCAGGACCCTTCTGTTTCTGGCCTCGTATTGCTCCACAACATCCAGGATTGGCTCCCCAAAAATGCTGTTCCCCATCACAGCGTCATAAAGCATGTAGAGGTTCTTCTCTCCTCCTGTTTTGGGAAAATGCTGCAAGAACAAGCGTTTTCTGACCTCCTTATACTCCGGTTTGGCCTCCAGAATGTCGATGTATTTTCTAAACTGGTTGCATAGATTTTCCTCCACAGCGAAGAACTCAGAATCCAAGCGTCCCTTTTTAATCTCGCAGTTGATGTCTTCTATTTGAGATGAGAGGACATCCAATTTGCTCCTCACAACTAGAAACTGATCTTTGACATATGTGATCTCCTTGCTTTCCACATTGTCCAAGACCAGCCTCAAAACTGGTGCAGAAGCTTCAAACAGAGGACACATCTCTCCAACAGCGCTGGCCAGCACCTCGGCTCCTCTCTCAAACATCTCCATCACTGCTTCAATGGCCTCCTTCTTCTGGGCTACAACCCTCTCCAGTGGACTGGACATTTCTAAAAACAATCAAAAGCAGGTGAAACTCATTGTAATATGCAAAACTGTTCTCCACTTACAGCTTTGAGCGTTTACTTCCAAGTCTTCAGTGCGAGACGCCCATAAAAACCGAGTGTTTTTGAGCTAGGCTCAAAACTAGGGTATAAAATAGCTTATTACTTATTCATTTTGATGTTTTTTAATGTAAAAACCAAGCAAACGTCATAAGTTGACCTCAGACAACAATATAAAAAAAATGTAAAAAGCCACTTCATGACCCCTTTAAACGAAGTCTCTCTCATTCTCGTTTGGGAGAAGATGTTGTAAATGAATATTAGAAAAGCTTCCCTACTTTTCTCAGACAGTACAGACAAATGTGAGCGCGAGAAAGAAAACTGCGAAGGTTCAGCTATGTAATAATAATGTTTTATATAATTATACAGTGTCCTTATGTTATGCTTACACTCTAAAAATCTGGGTCAAATATGGAAAAACCCTAAAAATGTCATTTAAAATTTTAACACAACTTCAAGTTTCACTTTCAACTGTACATTTACTAATTACATTTTTAACCCAACATTTGGGTTTGTGCATATTTGACCCAAATTTGGGTTGAAACAACCCAGCTTTTTTCAGAGTGAACTGTATATTATCCAATTACATGCAACTAACCCTAAACCAAACCTTAACCCTATCAAGTACATGCAATTAATAAATGTAATTAAACTGTAACAAGGACAGATCAAAGGATCCAGTGGCTTTAACTACTATGCACTTTGATAATGGACTTCTTGTGTAGATACATGTTTTTACATTGCACATATTTTTAAATACCAGCATGTAATTAATTTGTAATTACACAGTTGACCTTAAACCTATAGCCTATACCAACCACACACCTGTCCCTAACCTTACCCGTATCACACCTCAATGTGTTTTACAATACAACATGAACACAATTAGTACATTGTACTTATTTTTCGATGTATTTACATAGACTTAAAGCCACTTGATATAAAGTGGGACCCAAATAAAATGTAACCTACTTTTGTTCTTATAAATCGTCCTTTTATATAATCGAAATGATAGTGTTTTCCATCACTGCAAAAAGCATTAATCATAGGCATGAACCCCTCATCACGTTACTAATTTTACAAGGATAGCCAATTGTGCCATCAGCATTTTTTTTTCATTTTAAATCTGCATGCATACGCAAATCGTGTAAAATCAAGTCCAGACACATTTTAAGCCTCCAAATAATCATATTCAGAGCAAAATATTACGATTTAGAATCGTAGCAGATATGGCACCACTGAATGTGCCATCTTCTGTTCCAAAGGACACACCTCGAAAAGCGTTTTAAAGCGCAGTCTGCCTCATAAGTGTCCTACATGCGCATCGCAGCATCAACACGCGCAGAAAACATTTGAAACAGGTTTCTCACGTCTGGCAGGTTGAAGAGCTTCTGTCCGAATTACGTGTCCGAAAGTCCGGTTTCCCTCAGGTATTGGCTTGAGGAGGATATTTGTGATGATCTTAATGACTGAAATGAACGGAGAGAGAGCGCGAGGGTGCGCGCGCGCACGAGAGAGAGAGAGTTGCGCACGCTGAGGATACGTTAGGATGATTTTGGTTTGGAAAGCCCTTGGCAACAGCCGGGTAAATGTCTCATTTTTGACATGGTTGGCTGTACTTTGCGTTTTATTCATAGTTTGACAACAGATTGGAGAGTTGTGTGTTGTTTCTAGGTTGAACTAACGCGTAATGTTTGTTCATCAAGAGGAATATTGCGCGCAATGCGCAACATGGAGCAGCTCCAGTGGACAACAAGAAACATGCGCAGATATTTTCCACACAAGGATGGCAGGTATTTCACACACAGTAATGATAAATTTGAGCTTAACTCGCTTTATATTGTATGATGTTATTGGCTATAATATCAAAATTATATTTTATGGGAAAATTCAGGGGAAACTCTTGATAATAGCTACTCTGTGCTGAAATGTTCTCTTCTCTGAGCGTGTGCTGATGAAGGAGGGTCCATAGCCTATGCATATATTATGAATCAAACGTGGATGAAATGAACGAAAAGACGGAAATCACATCTATACAGGCAAATTAAGTGGTGGATGTGCATTTATTTTCTAACAATCCACTAATAAACGTTTGGAAATGAGACAGGTGTGACCTTGTTGTGTCTGAATGCGTCATACATTGACATGATGACATGATGATGAATATGGCGATTCTGATTATATTACTGAGAGAACAGAGTGTGTGACATGGGGAGGTTACTAGGTTTTACATCTCTAAGCTCCCCCCCTGTTCTCTCTTTGTTTCAAAGCTTTCAACGACATTTTTGTGATTTATGTCCACTAAACAAAAATAGATGCTAAGTAAACAATTCAATAAAACAAAACATACACATTTATTTGATCTCAAAGCGGAATGTCAAACTGACAAAGGTGCACGATTCATTTATTCATTGCAGTGTCCCTTTTCTTCAAGTAAAATGCCAAATCATTGCCTCTTTCTTTCTTTCTTTCTTTCTTTCTTTCTTTCTTTCTTTCTTTCTTTCTTTCTTTCTTTCTTTCTTTCTTTCTTTCTTTCTTTCTTTCTTTCTTTCTTTCTTTCTTTCTTTCTTTCTTTCTTTCTTTCTTTCTTTCTTTCTTTCTTTCTTTCTTTCTTTCTTTCAGAATCACGTGTTCACATGATTGCCTGTCCAACTTGACGTAAGAGTCTTTGCAAGTGTTTCTGGCTGATGATGACGTGAATAAGATCTGTCTTCTGTGACGTAACATGGGGTAAAGTTATTCTTATTAACATTTGAGTATTAAAATATAAAAATAAGGAGAACGCACAAATTTCATAACCATTAGCCTATGCTCTGTAGAACAAGGGATCAAGATGTGGGAAGTTATGTGGCAAAGTCCAGTTTTTTTTTTAATTTATTTATTTATTTTTTTGTGTGTTTTTTTTTTAATTATGTTTTTTTTAACGATCATTAAAATTAGTAATAATCTATTGATTAAAAACAAAATCGATTTTTTTTTCAGTACATTTTTTTTTTTAAATATTGAAATATTTACCATTTATACACTGATGAATGAAATAGCTTATAAATGCAAATCAGGCTGATTTATTTATAATAACGTAGTGAGAACATGTAAGTGTTCAAACGTGCTACAATCTGAAATGTTTATAATTGCAGATCGCATGCTGTTTTTATATTCATTAAAATGTGCAGATTCTAAGCACAAGCACACATTATGCAGGCTATTTATATTTCAAAGCCTAGAGCTCAGATTATGCTCTTTTACTGCCACCTAGAGGCAGAAGATCATAGCTTACACTCTTCTACTGTTTCAACATGGGTTCACTTCCGGGAACGTTTTATTGGTAACACTTTACAATAAGGTTCATTAGTTAACATTAGTAAATGCATTAACTAGCATGAACTAACGATGAGCAATGCATTAGTTACAGTGTTTATTAATCTTTGTTATTGTTAGTTAATACAAATACAGCTGTCCATGGTGCGTTCATGTTAGTTCACAGTCCATTAAGTAATGTTAACTAATACAACCTTTGATTTTAATAACGTATTAGTAAATGTTGGAATTAATATTAACTAAGATTAATACATGCTGAAGAAGTATTGTTCACATATTGTACAAATGTAGTAAACTAATGAACCTTATTGTAAAGTGTTACCGTTTTATTGTTATGAATTTGACTATTTCATCATTGCTTTATAATGAAATGCAGTTCATGGATATCTAAATAGAAGAAAACCATGTAAGAAGAAAAACAGTCCCCTATACTATAGAAATCCCCTCATCGACTATAATTTCATTTAGTTCAATAACATATGTATAAACATTTTATGTGCATTTCTCATGGATATATCTTTAAATTAAATGTAAATTATGTCATAAATTATAAAATATATATATATATATATATATATATATATATACATATACACACACAAACATATACATATATACTGTATGTACAAAATTTGAGTCAAAACAGCTTGTAATATTTCCTTGAGTCTTTATTGAAAAATGACTGAATATCAAGATAATGCGTTTTCATAATGATTGGGAAGGTAACATGTTCCAATCCTCAAGACATTCAAGTACATGACACAGAATTATAGTGGCATTTATATGCCAGTGCTTTATAGACACATGTAAAAGAAACGTGATTATCTAGATGAACTTCAGTCGTGACTGAACAGACTAAACGTGCAGCACTGTACACTTAGTTGCGGTATAGCAAGCACATCAGGTGCTTTATTTATCCTAAATAAAATAAAAGGGTCAAATGAATGCAAAAAAACAACAACAAAAAAAACCCTTCAGTTTACGTCATTTCTACTTATATTAAAATATATGCTCTGATAATCCATTCTAATGGCAATGAAAATGACACGGTACAAATAAATGCATACTCAAATCTACTACTAAATAGATTTAAGTATGCAAAAAATAAACATGAAAATATCCGAAATTTTGATCTTAGTATGCACAGACAGAAAATTGTATGCTCTTTATTTTGCAAAGTTTGTATAGATAGAGAGATAGCTAGATAATAGAAAGAGAGAGAGAGTTTCATTGAACATAATTTATATTTATTTATATTTATGTAGTGTTGAAGCTTTTTAAAAATAATTTTCAAGGTGAAACTGCTTTTGAACTTTACTAATATTTATATAAGCACAGTCAGCATTGTGTAGATTAGTGTGAATTATGCTCGTCATGTAGTGTTAAACTGAGGCAAGGCATGAAGAAATGTGATTAAAAAACAAAAACAAGAAGCAGATTCCAGGAAATGAGATGAACCCGTCAGCATGAGCTGCTCATCAGGAGGATAAATGCTGCAGGTCGATGAAGTCCATACAGGAAAAGGCAAATAAAGAGCGTTGGTTGTGCTGAAAGGCATCGGGATCACTTGCATCTCCTCAGCACCTCCTGCATTTTCACCTGCACGTTCTTCATGTTCTCTTCCCACTCCTCGTTGCGAGATTCCAAGTCATCCCCCAGGATGCCGTAGTAGCCCATGAGAGCGATGAACCCGATGCAGAACAGGTACGCGAGTCGCGTGCAGAGGTTTTCCATGACGCGCCGGTCCCCCTGCGAGTGCTTCATGTACACCTCCAGGATGGGCTGGCTGAAGAGTTTGCGCTTCCCCATCACGCCTTCATAAAGCGTGTACATGTTCTGGTCATCTTTGTCGTTGATGAAGCTCTCGACGAAATCCTCCTTCTTGCGTTGCAGGTTCTCTGGCTTGGCCTCCACGATCTCCACGAATTTGCGGAACTGATTACGAATGTTTTCCTCCACCTCGTGGTACTGTTTGTCCAACGTCTCCTTCCTGATTTGCAGCAGGGCTTGACGGTTCTGCTGCGAGATTTCGTCCAGGGCTCGATTCACGCTGCCGAACTCCCGTCTGAGTTTCTGGATGTCTTCATCGTCCACATGGTGCAGCACCACCCGGATGAGAGAGCCGGCCACGCCGAAGATGGGATTGACCACCGCTGCTGCTGACGAGATGGTGGCCACACATTCTAGGACCTTCACAAGGCCCCTCTTCAGCTTCTCTGGGTCGTCGAAGATCTCAGCCATTGTGTTTGGAGGAAGACTAAGCTCTGATCTTATAGTTGACCTGAAGAAGGAAACAGATCACAATCTCAGAGTTAAACATAAATTCTATTTAAAATACGTATCTACAAGGAATCGATGGCTCAATCAGGATTTGTGGCTTAAAGGAGTAGTTCACTTTTAAAAAAAACTTTTGCTGATAATTTACTCACCCCCATGTCATCCAAGATGTTCAAAAAAGAAATTAAGGTTTTTGATGAAAACATTCCAGGATTTTTCTCCATATATAATGGACTTCAATGGGAACCAAACGGTTCAAGGTCCAAATGAGAGTTTCAGTGCAGCTTCAAAGGGCTTTAAACGACACCAGACGCTGAATAAGGGTCTTATCTAGTGAAACGATCGCTCATTTCAAAAAATAAATAAAGAAGTTTACGTTTTATAAGCACAAATGCTCGCCTTGCTCTGTTCTGTGTGACAACTCTCCTGTTCGAACTCGTTCATCAAAATGAACAAATCTTTTTTCGAGTCAAACGAAATGACTCAAAAAAAGATTCGTTCATTTTGATGAACGAGTTCGAACAGGAGAGTCACGAACGCGTCACAGAACAGAGCAAGACGAGCATTTGTGCTTATAAAACGTAAACGTTTTTATTCATTTTTTAAATGACCGATTGTTTAGCTTGATAAGACCCTTATTCATCGTCTGGTGTCGTTTAAATCCCTTTGAAGCTGCACTGAAACTCTCATTTGGACCTTGAACCGTTTGGTTCCCATTGAAGTCCATTATATGGAGAAAAATCCTGGAATGCTGTCATCAAAAACCTTAATTTCTTTTCGACTGAAGAAAGAAAGAATCTTGGATGACATGGGGGTGAAAAGTGAGCTACTCCTTTAATGCTGATTACTGTAAAAATAATTTTGTTCCTCATTTTCTTTTGTAAAAATTAGCAAAAAACAGCGAGGAACTTTTAATGGAGGTAAATTAGGTCATTTAAAAGCAGAAATGTAAAGCGTATTTTGAAAACTCTTACATTAGTTTAGTTACAATGTGCACTTTATTTGAGCTGTAAAGCTATTAATCATAATTTGTGATTTTTCTTTATGGGTTACACCGTCAAATCGATTAATCCAATCAAAGTGCTGTTAAATCAATGAATCGCGATTTATCGCACCAAACAAAAGTTTGTAAATATACGTAGTAGTGCTGTCAAAATGATTGATCGCAATTCATCGATTCTAACATAAAAGTTTGTTTGTGTATGCATGTATAATTTATATACAATTTTTATATATACACACACACACAAATGTTGATGTTAGATGCAATTAATTGATTCAACAGCACTAAACTACACAGAATAAGAGATTTTTCACACTAAATCATGTTAACATGCAAGTCTTGTGAGTATACTTGCAAGAGTGAGTACATAAACGTCTTTACGAGTGCCTTTTTATAACCCAGAAAGAAGAGGAAGTTGCCATAAATACTGTTGATAAACTTTACTTGACCACAGAATACTCCTTTAAACATTTATATTAGATTAGGCTCCATAACCACATCAATCTGCCTTTGAAACTCTGACAACTTTGCATTTAATGCAAATCAAAGCAATTTCCATATTCACCTGCATTCTGCAGTCAGAAAAAAACATAGAAATCACATTTGGTCATAGAACACGACAAATACAAAGACTAACTGCCATATGAGAGAAAACAAAATATATCCATTTATTGTGCAAAGAATAATCAAACATAAGCAAATAATTATATAAGAATTCGTAATGTGTAACTCACATCATTAGAAATATATATTTTTACAATATATTAAATCACAATAATGACCAAAACATGCTTAATATTCTTTAAAAACATTTTTAGCCGTGATATACAGTATTTAAGGGATGGTTTTTGAAAATTATCCCATAATTGACTAACCCTCAAGCCATCCTTCTGTAGGCGTATATGACTTTTTTCAGCCAAACACAATCTGAGTTATATTACAAACTATCCTGGCTTTGCTTCAGAAGGCCTTTATTAACCCCATGGAGTGGTATGGATTACTTTTATGATGGATGGATGCACTTTTTTGGAGCTTCAAAAACTCAGTCTCGATTCCCTCCCATTATATAGCTCGGAAGAGCCAGGATAATAATCTTGTAATATAACTCTGATTGTGTTTGGCTGAAAAATGAAAGTCATATACACTTAAGATGGCTTCAGGGTGAGTAGATTATGTGATAACTCCCTTCAAGCAGAGATTGCATCAAAAGTCCATTGTCAAGCAGAGAAAGAATGACCCATTTTACACCCCACAGGATTTATTGAAACTTCCTTATTAAATATTGCTTGTGACATTAAAGGAGAACTCCGGCGAACAATGAACCTTTGGTCAAATAAAACATCGGTACCTAGTCAATCATTCTCTGAGATTTGTTTTCATGATAATCGAATGTAAAGAGTTTTATCTCTAAAAACTGTTTAGCGTATAATGCTAGTAATGGGGGCATTGACTAAGTAAAAAGAAATCGCTAGTTTATACCACTAACAAGGTTTAAAATAGCCCCACACTCACACAGTAACATAATGTGGGTCCATACATGCAAAACGAAGCATTGAGAACTTTGTAAGTGTACAGACCGTTTAATAAGAAGATACTTTATAAAGACAGGAGCCATCTTAAAAAATAGTCTCGACAAGTCGATCACCGAACGCCGTTCATACAGTTCAGAAGTTCGCTGAACTTCATACAGTTCAGATCACTCAGCACGACGTTCGGGGATCGACTTATCGAGACTATTTTCTAAGATGGCTCCTGTCTGTATCCGCGAAGTGAACTGTCTTCATAAAGTATCTTCTTATTAACCGGTCTGTACACTTACAAAGTTCTCAATGCTTCGTTTTGCATGTAGGGACCCTCATTATGTTAGTGTGGGGCTATTTTGAGCCTTGTTAGTGGTATAAACTAGCGATTTCTTTTTACTTAGTAAATGCCCCCATTACTAGCATTATACGCTAAACAGTTTTTAGAGATAAAACTCTTTACATTCGATTATCATGAAAACAAATCTCAGAGAACGGTTGACTAGGTACCGATGTTTTATTAGACCAAAGGTTCATTGTTCGCTGGACTTCTCCTTTAAAACTTTCAGCATATGATGAAACGGATTTGTCTCAGCAGTTGTTCTTCAGGCTTCCTCAGTGCATTGGTCCAGAACTTCTTGCATCTTGTCTTGAATCTCAATGACCCTCGGCCCCCATTTGTCTCTCACTTCATCCTCGTCATCCTCACTGACGGCGTAGTAGGCCATCAGCCCCATAAGACCGATGTAAAACAGGTGGGCCAGGTGAGAGCAGCGCGCCTCCATCACCTTTTTGTTCCTTTGACAGTTCTCCAGGTACACTTGTAGGATGGGTCTCCCAAACAGAGCGGTTCCCTTCACCCCACGATAAAACACATCTAAGCTCATGTCGCTGCCGTCCTTCTCGTAGGTCTTCACAAACTCCTGCATGTGACGATCTGAGTTCTCAGGGTCCAGTTTGACTCTTTCCAACATGGTGTTGAAAGCATTGTACTGATGCTTGATGACTTCCTCGTGTTTACCGAAATTCTCGTTGATCTCGTCGATGCGGATCTGTCGGAGCACCTTCTTGTTCTTCTCTGAGATGGTTTCCAGCTTTTCGTGGATCTCCTTGAAGTCCTTGCCCATCTCATGCTCTTCCTCTTCCGTGAGGCCTTTCCTGACGACCCCGACCACTGAAGTCACAATCCCAAAGAGTGGGTCTATGGAGGAGGCGAAGGAGGAGATCTTCTCCACATAGCACAGCACTTTGACCGCAGTCGCTTTGATCTCCACTTTTTCTGCCATAGATGGGTCTGAATCTTGGACTTTGGCTCTTCTAGGCTTTCAGTGTTGTCTGATCCTGAAATGAAAGGAAAGCATATTCTTAATAAACACAGAACAGACCATAATCACATTTCAACACTTCTGTCCTGAACATTCAACAACTGGCATGCTTCCGTGGCAAAAATAGTGCAATTTCCCTGCTTCCAAACCTTACATTCTAAAAATGCTGGGTTGTTTTAACCCAACTTTGGTTCAAATATGGACAAACCCAAATGTTGGGTTAAAAATGTAATAAAAAAAATTAACCCAATGGCTGGGTTTGTCCATATTTGACCCAAAGTTGGGTTAAAACAACCCAGAATTTTTAGAGTGTACACTCTAAATGATGCTGGGTTGTTTTAACCCAAATTTGGGTCAAATATGGACAAACCCAAATGTTTGGTTAAAAATTTCATTTAAAATTTGAACCCAACTTCAACTTTCACTTTCAACTGGAAATTTTTAAATTACATTTTTAACCCAACATTTGGGTTTGTCCATATTTGACCCAAATTTGGGTTAAAACAACCCAGAGTGTAAGGCTTCGGCAATTCACAACGCATTTCTTTACTTTGAAACTGAACCAGCAGTGTGCTTCTCTGTTTGAATATACTGTACATTTGTAAATTGAGTATACATCTACACTTTAAATGCAAACTTTCAAGTTCATTCAACACTCAAACCTACACTCTAAACAATGCTGGGTTGTTTTAACCCAAAATTGGGTAAAATAAGGACAAACCCAAATGCTGGGTTAAAAATGTAATTTAAAACTTCAACTTTCACTTTCAACTGTGCATTTTTTAACTAGCAACATTTTCAACCCAACATTTAGGTTTGTCCATATTTGACCCACATTTGGGTTGAAATAACCCAGCATTTTGTATAAAATAGTGTGTATAAAATAGTTCAATGCAACATTTCAAAAGTTTTTACACATATTAGAGTTTGTTATATTAGCTATTAGAATAGCAACTTACTAACATTTATCTCAATTGGAATCAACTTTGAGTTGTCTTTGTGGTTTTATTTGAGTTGCTGCCTATGTAGAGTGTCCCAAATTTATCTCTTTTAAGGTGCAATGACCATTAGATTCTGCCTTAAAAGGCAGCTGTTTATGTAGGCTGTTTATGTATTAGGATAAACCTATATTTTCTCTTTCCATGGCCGTAAAAGGTTGCTGTCCAGTTCTGAATCTGCAGTGTCCAGAATAGTAATAATCAAATTGTACCCGTTTCCAAATTAGTCACTAAAAATTTAACTTTCACGTCAGGGACATACCGGTGGAAAATATTTTTACTTAAACAAAATAATATATATAACATGACATTTTATTTACACCTTTTTGTCCTTTCAGAAAGGAGGTTCACATTAAGTTTTGACTCTTATTCACAAATGAAGGGATTATTCAATATACAGCAGTAATCAAAAACCAGTTTGCACAGACAAACTAGTAATTCAAAACTAAAACAATATAGTTGATAAGCATGTTCCCATCAAACCACATGGCATAATCAATGATGTCATGCTCATGGCTTTACATGTTTTCCTTGTTATAAAACAAAACATTTTTTAAATGCAGTTTTTTGTACAACATGCAGTTTATCTTTGTCAGTCACTAAAATAGGTTTCTAGACTGAATGAATGGCAGTATGGGTTGTAAACAGGCTAACGCAATTAGCTTAAGGAGGAGGTTAGATGAACAGCAAAACATATTTGGTTACATGAAGCAGCAATATTGTGTCACAGTATACACGTTTAAGCAGGAGAATGTCCTAAGCTATAAATCTTACCTTTATATGTGTCTGTAGCCGTCAGTTCCTAATGGTGCTGCTGCTGTTTTTGTACAAGCAGCCACCATTTCACTGTCCGGTCTGAGAAACACAGCACCTCCCTCTTTGTCAAAAAGGGCAGGGTGTGCGAGTGACTCATACCACAGCAATGCTGATTGGTTTAGAAGGGGGGAAAAAAAGCATGCAGCTTTTCCGCAACCCCCTTTCTGAAGAAAACGCACACACCCTGCATGGAAAATGGCTGCAATGCGCTCAGCCAAGTTCAGAATTGAACCTTGTCATTTGTAGACACGAATGAATAACTAGCTGGAGCAGATGAGTAAATTAGAGAACATTTAGATTGCCTATATTAAAAAAAAGAAAGAGGAAATTCTGGCGTTGACTAGTCTAATACTAATGCATGAGTCAAAAAGTATGTGGAAAAATAGTTTATGGGCCGTTTATCATTAAACAATTCTTCCTTTTAATTAAATGCAACAATTACATAAGAAGGTACGCTTGTGTTTCATGAATGAGGCCGTGTGTAAAAATTCAGGAAGCAGGTACATCCTGTGGTGGCTTATCTGGTTAAGTGAGTAAAACACTAAAGCATAAACAAAGGATGAATATACGCAGAAAGGAGAGGCGGTCGAGCAACTGTGCGTGTCAGCTGTCATTTGAACAGCTGGAAGAGACTCAAGTTCATGACAGATGTGTGGTGTGAACTGGGCTTTGTGTGGGTTCATTTTGTAAACAGAGTGCCAGCAGATTAGCTAAGAAAATAACGTAAATTGTATGCTTGGAAGAAAAGGTCACTTTTTCACTTTGTTTAACTGAGAATGAGTGTCACCTCTAACCAGTTAAGACAGGAAAATGAACTCTTACGTTGCAGTGAGAAAGACCGGATGTCCCAAATGGAGATCTTGTTTTTTTTTTTTTTCCCTTCCAAGTACCTGCGGCAGAACAGAGGGAGGAAAAAAAGCATTGAACTTTTAGCAAATCATATTCAGAGTTTCGGGTCAGTTATCTGCTGAAATTGCAATAATGTGATAATCTTGATAGCATCATGTTATCAGATGTTCCACACAGTATGCTATTGTTTTCCAGCAAAGGTGTAGGTGGCAATTTACAGCAAGGGTTGGAAACTAAAAGCCTGGTCTTTTTGTGTATATATATATATATATATATATATATATATATATATATATTCCATTTGACCTTTCCAGCTAACAGGAGACATTCTCAAAACTTAAGCTAACGTTCTGGCAAGTTATGAACAGTAACGATAATGGAACGTTTGTTCAAAGTCATCTGGTCTTTAATAATGTTAATAAATAAAATTAAAAACATACATCACATCATTTGGATGGATCTTTTTTCCTGTGATTTTAGATGTTCATCATTATTTTTTAAAATGTTACTACTTCTAAGAACATTTAACATTCCAATCATGTTTGCAAAATGTTAATATGGAATGCATCCTTAGTGTTCGCATAAGAAAAAACAGCCCATTCTCATCCCAAAGCGCCATATAGGACGTTTTTGCAAAAGCGTAAATATCCAACGCACATGGCACCCTTTAACGTCAAATGAGACGCAGATATATTTGGGCAGAAGGCGCCCCCTAGTGGTCTAACCCTTACCCTACACCATACCTAAACTTAACCATAACCGAAGCATCTCATTAGACGTTAAAGGGTGCCATGTGCGTTGGATATTTACGTTTTTGCAAAAGCGTTGTATATGGCGCTTTGGGATGAGAATGCGTTGGAAAAACGTGTTTAAAACATTCTTAGAACACATTTTGTTAACTGGGCTATTGTTGAGCCCTGTTATTAAAGCAATTAAACAGTGATACATCAACAAGCTATCAGTGTTTTTTTTAGAGCCAGACCGATATATCGGCCGGCCGATATTATTGGCCGATATTAGGCATTTTCCAAAATATCGGTATCGGCAGTTATAATGGCCGATAAATGAATATTTAAAAAATAAAATAAAAATGGACGAAACATGCTTCAATCATCTCTCCTTGGCCTGTTATATTGAAAATGTATGTTTTACAATTTGCACTATGATGTTATCTATTGCTAAATTATGGCTCATCATAGCTAACCACAAAGCTAGCTAATGTCACTATCATCAGTGGAAGACCGCTAACGTTAACATTGAGCTTGGAAACCACAATTAACTTTTTCTACCTAAATAAAGTAATGATTACTGTATTTATAACTAGCATATCTCTAGTTACAGTCCCTGCATTGTAAAATGTAAGTTATACTTGCGAGGAGTGAACATTTAGACATAGAGAAAAAGTATCAAACATTTCTTGTGCAGAAAAGTTAGCTTTTCTTTTACACGTGTGTGAAATCCAACAATATTTAATTTAAAAAAATATATATAAAATATCGACCGATATATCGGAATATCGGATTTTAAAATCCAAAAATATTTGTATCGGTATCGGCCTTCAAAATCCTTAATCGGTCTGGCTCTAGTTTTTTTTTTATGTCAAAGTACATAATGACTCTGACTTCACAGGAATATTATGGCATAATTCAATGAAGCCAAACAATATGGCCCTAAAAACATAAAAGTCAACTGTCTGATACCAACACTCTTAAAAATATCATATTTTGTGTTCAACAGAAGAAAGAAACTCATAAAGGCTTGGAACAACATGAGGGTGAGTAAATGCTGAAATTTGTTGAAATGAAATGAGAAAAGAGTTTCTGAGTTTCTTTAAGCAATTCTACAGTGACATATTCACAATTGACCGTTGTTCTTTGATGTCAAATTAAATAAGAGGATACTTCATATTGTAGATTATCAAATATGTAGATTAGATAGGCTGTAGATTAGTGAGCTATAAAATAGATTAGATAGGCTGTATATTAGTGAGCTATAAAATATAAAATAGATTAGATAGGCTGTAGATAAGCTAAAATATAAAAGTTAGTTTGTGTTAAAAAGCACTTTTAGGAGGGCAACTGACCATCACAATTAAGGACACTGCATGCTGCTGTGAGGCTGTCAAATTCAAGTTAAACAACTATACTCAAACGGGGAACTTTAACATTTACACTTGCTGTACGGGACACAATAAGGTAGCAGTTCAGTAGTCTATGAGGGCTTATGAAACTTATTATAGCTTGCGATGTGATAGTAGATGCTGTGCACAACTCATTTAGTGTCAAACTGATGTCTGTATTGGTATTGTACGGAGAGCTTTATAGGGGACCAATTAGGCAAAAAAAAAAAGGGGATGCATGTAACTCTTAAATGAAAGCATATTTACTGTTCATATTTTCCCATTTGAGACACAGACCCTTGTTCCTGATCCATCCAGAGGGGGCGGTAATTTACATTTGCAGATTTCTGATAAAAAACGGCAGACAATGTCAAAGTGAAATTGACTGTGATGCCCTCAGGAGAACTACATTTTAACCCTTTAAATGCTGGATGGTTTTAGGATATGAATAACAAAGTTGCACCTACATCCTCTCTATTTTTTCAGTATTTAACATCGGTTCATCTTTATGCTTTATCTTGTGTAAACAAAAATGATAAGGTTAATTTATATGAACTAAATAACTCACTCATTTAAATATAACAACTTCCGTCCATTCCAACAGGATAAACACACATAAAATCAAAAGATTAATGATCATTGATTAATATGATCATCACTTTTGCGCATTTAACCCTTTCAGTTCATCTTTATGTCATATCTTGTGTAAACAAATATGATTAGGTTTATTTGTATGAACTAAATAACTCACTCATTTAAATATAACAACTTCCGTCCATTCCAACAGGATAAACACACATAAAATCAAAAGATTAACGATCATCGATTAATATAATCATCACTTTTGCGTATTTAACCCTTTCAGTTCATCTTATATCATATATTGTGTAAACAAATATGATTAGGTTTATCTTGTTATTCAAATATAAAACTACTTCCCTCCATTTCCACCAGGAAAGATACAAATAAAATCAAAAGATGAATGATTATTGATTAATATGACCATCACTTTTGAATATTTAACCGTTTCAGTCCCTCTATGCCTTATTCTGTGTAAACAAATATGATTAGGTATTGATTAATTTTTAGGTATTAATTATTATTGATTAATATGATCTAGACTGAAAGGGTTAATAGGTCATCTGCACCAACACCAGCCCAATAGCAAAACGTTTTATATTGATTTATAAATAATAAAAAGCTGGGATCCCTTAATTAGTCCATTACAGAACTTAGACAAGGGTCCTGATGACTCTCTGGCAAGACTAATCTGAGACTAGTCCCTACTGTGTGCTTAAATATTCCCATCCTCCAGGCTTAACTAGAAAAGCAGTTCATGTGAGTGTGTTTACACTCAACGCTCATTCAGTTAAGACTGACACATGATCTCCTAAAGGTTTCTTCAAGTCAGCAATACTAGTACCCATAACTCTGATTATTAGTTACTTAATTGTAAAAGATGATTCTTTTTCTCACAATTTAACTTGAAAACAGTTTTATATGCTTGAGCACAGAGATAAAAAATCCAGAGTGTCGAATAAGTCAGGAAGTAAGCCGTCCCAACAGCATTCACCACTCCAAGGAGCGGCCATCTTTAAAGCTCTCTATCAGTTCACTCAGAGAAGCTAATATGTCAAAATTAACTTGTAAAATCACACAAATACACAGTAATATATATGATTTATATACTTTTAGTACATTTAAGTGCGTTTTAGTCTTCAGGGACCATCCTTAACATGTTTCCTCTCTTTCTTTTGTACAGCATTGACTGTATGTCAAATTGGACACTTCCCTTGGACAAGCAGCCAAGGGATCAAGACAGAACAATTGCAGACCATGTTTAACAAGCCAAAGCACAACAAATCAACATCTTCCTGTGTTTTCCCAACCAATGTGAGTATTTGAAAAAGTCTACAGCCCATTTGGAGTACATCACTTTCAGCCAGCTGTTGTCTGCCCTGTTATAGCTCCCCCTAGCAGCTCCCTCCATATTTCCTTGTTCATGCTAACCATGATATCTATTCTCACCCTATACAGACACCATGCAAGATTTGTAAAAATCTACATACAGGCATGCATTAGGGCCAATGTACATCTCAATGAGCCCATCCATCCATTAGTGGCCTGGGCCATTGGAGAACACAGCTCCTCTTACCTTTTCAGATTGCTCTCTTCAAAGTCCCAATCCCGACTGTACTTCTTCTTCCCAGCAAACACTGCAAAAGAGGCACTTCCATTTTAGCTCAATATGGAGGGGTGTTCAAATTGGACTATACCATTTAAACTTGTATATTGATGGCCCTGGTGCCTCAAAAAGGGCCCTTTGGCCACCAATATCAATGCAAGTCTCCACTTGCTCCATTGCAGAGGCATATGTTAACCCCTATTGACCAGCCCCCTCCTCAAGCCAAAGATGACCTCCCCCAATGACATTCAAATATTCCAGCCTTCCAACAGTCAGATAGTCTATACAGAGAACCGACTGTCACTTCTGGAGGCAGCTGAGGGCACACAGAGTCTCCAAACAGGCCAGCTGCCAAGCTCTGCCATTGGCGACACTGGGTGGAAGCTATTCGTGTGAGGGCTTTTTATTAAAATTAAGCTTTAAGTATTAAATTAAGAGTTAGAATATACCAAATTTAGTTAAATAGGGTACTGCAATATGAGCCATCTATTGCACAGAGTTAAAAAAGCACACCCTTCCAGTGGTGTCAGTGTGTCCAAATACACCTGGTTGTAGCATTAATAAAAGCAGCCTTAGCTTTATATTTAAAATATATATTTAAGGTACACCGAGCAACATGTATAAGTTCTGATTTGAGACCAACCAGTGTATGGTCATTGTTTTGTATCTATATGAAATGCCTCAATATCATCATTACGCTGGCTTTATGAGGGCACCGACATTTCCAAGCTACTGTTTCTTTAAAGACAACAATCATGCTCTAAAATGAGCTCTTCAATTGTCTTGTTGTTAATAATGCATGAATCAGAGTACAAGAACGATATTCACCCGATAAAACAAGAAATGATTAATGGGGATCAGTGCATCATTCTGTGATACTTTGCACATGTTCTGAACATACAAACAAACGGATATTTTTGTCTGCAAAATGGTGCAAACACAGGATATATGTTTAAAATGTGATCACTACCGTATTTAGATGTGTTGAAACATAATGTGTGCTAAAACTAAAAATAACTCCCATGCACAGAAGCACTCATCTATCTAAATGCACAGAGGTGTGAAGTCACAGGATGAGTGTAAGGTCACAGTTGTTAGAAACAAAGAGATATGGGTATTGAAAGGCATACAGATCTACACAAGGTTATTTATTTATTTTTTATTCTTGTCTACAGCATGTTTTGTTCTGTGTAACAGTCTCAAACATATATTATACCATTAGCATGTATGTTCTACGGATTAATTTAGTTTACAATTTGAATTAATGTAAAGTAGCCTACAAACTAAAGATCGGTGTGCTATAATCTAACCCAATACAGGTTTGTAACGTTTGAAAGCAAAAGGAGAATTTTAAGAATTTTGTTCATATTTATTGTTCTATTCACTCTTTTGGTTTAAAATTATTATTATTCCATCACCAGTCCATTTCTTTTAAGACATTTTAGTTCAAAATTAGGTTTAAAAGAGCAAATAAAACAGCTGTGGCTATTCGTGACATCTATTTTGCATTGTCTCATTATTTTGTTTGAATCCAGTAGAAGTAGCTACATTGGTAAGCCTAATATTTTAGCATGTAAATGAAAAGACTGTGAGGCTATTCGTGAATGATGTTATAGCAGGCCTTTTATATCATCACCTCAGAACGCTGGTGGTTGGTCCATAGTGAAAAATCACCAGAAAACTTACGTTGTTACAACATTCGTCATCGGTAGCGGTGTGTATACTTAAGCATGTGCTTAGATACAAAGACTGACTGAAAAAAAAAAAAAAATCACAAAAACGCTTACCGGGCGTCGTGCAAAAACTGACAATTGTGCTCCAAACCGCTGCAGGTGGGATTGGATGAAAAAATTACAACGCATTACAAACTAGCTGAATCTTAGGGCGAAAACAATCTAACATTCGAGTGCATGATTATTTTCAGACAGGCATCACTGCTCGACGCTTTGTGTTTTTTTAGAAATGACAGGTGTAGGCTACGCCGCCCGATAAAGATCTAACGTGAAACATCGCCTGACAAATGATTAATGATTCTGAAATGACGCCGGGAAGACAATGTATAAGGTACGATATTAAAAAAAAAAAATATATTGCCTATATCGAACGTATCTAGGCCTACTCACAGACCGTCTTTGATGTTCATGGATTAAGTTTACAGATTTTGATTAGACTATGCATCGCGTCCATCCGTCATTTTGATGGATGTCAGCAGTCGTAATCTATAATATGTAGCCTAACATTAGCCTATAATGAATTGGGTGTATTTGTGTACTCAGACATTAATAAATATTAGACATTAGTGAAGATTAAGGTTTCAATATTGTTTATGTCTGTGGTGTTTTTAAAATGCTTTAAGACAAACCATGTTTAAATTCACAATTCAACATGCTGAGTATTTTCTCTTTATAACTGCAGTAAACCAAATCACAAATGTGCGGTTTGAAATCGCTGGTGTTTCTGACGTCACAATCTACCTTGTAACCAATCAGGTGTGATGTGATCGTCTATGAGTGGATCTCTGAGCTGCTGTGAGTGGAGGTAGGGCTTATTTGCATATTCATAGAAAATAGTATATTAATATTCATAGTAAATAGTAAAATAAAGAGTAAATTCAAGCTATTTTTAAAGCCTGAAAAAAAATTTCAAGGAAAAAACACTTAAAAATTTAATTTTGGTGATCAAATATGAGTTTTAAGGGATAAAAATATTGACTACAGGGGGACTTTAATTTAATAAAACCTCTGAGCCCAAGTCCAGACAAGTCTGTTGATTTTAAAGAGTCATCCATGAAAGATTATTCTACTATTTTATTATAGGGCTACATTTGAAATTGGGAGTAAAAAAGTTTTTCTTTTCTGACTTTTGTTTTGTGTTTTTATTTAATGGAACTCATGAAGGTTCTTCAAGGTATTTTTTTTTTTTTTCGTAACACAGCTTCCCTTTTTTAACAACTTCAAAACTTTACACAAACATTCCTTTGACTCGTCTTTATTCTGCCAGATATGAAGTTTACCAGATAAACAAGATAACAGTCCCAGTGCCTGAGATTTATGTTTCTTCTGTGAAGTTTAAGTCCAACATTTTATTAAGGCTTTATCTTGGTTTTGAAAACATTCTAAATTCAAAGCTTTGAATTGTCTTGATTGACAAGATGATGTGGGGGAAATGTGTCAAATGGAACTTAAATTCAACAACATATTATAATAAACATAGAGATGTGTAAAATTTATTTTTTGCTTAATACTGTCAACATAATTCTGAGTTAAAAATAAATATAATAAAGATTATAGAAATGAAATGATGTAGGCTATACTGTTCTGGGAAATGCCCAATAAAGTTTTGTCCATTGTATGTGTCTTTGTTATTCTAGGTTGTGATTGCAATGTTGATAGCTAAATTAAATAAAATTGCCACATGGCTGGTTATGTAAGTTGGTTATGTTTCACTGGTGTTTTAAAAACATATATATTTCTTCTTCATTAAATGCACCAAAAAAAGATCAAGGAAAATGAGATTTTTCATGATATCACCCATTCAGTGATTTGTGGCTGAATGTGAAGATTATTATTCATGGCTGAATGTGAAGTTTATTCAAACTGTGCAATAGCCATTTTAAGCCATCTTTAGCACTAACTCGCACAGTATAAATACATTTCAGGCATGTGACAGAAAGGGAAATGTCAGACGGATCATGGAGTTGTGGGCACTGTCCATGGTGCTGTAGGATTTCTGTGACTTCTTTTTCATCTTGGATTTGGATAGGGAGGTTGAAAAGATCACGTTAGTTTTCCTTTTTTGGTAGACTGCTTTAAGATCAGCTGTTTGATTATATTTGTCCTCATATGCTTCCAGTCACTGAAAAAAATAAATCAACCAACCTTCAGAAATCCATCTTTTTCAAACACATCCCGAGACAAGTGCAGAGCTCATGTATAGGCTATCTACAGTTTTTACTTTATTTCCCAGCGTTAAATTTTGGCTTAAGTGGACAGGAAAGATACCATTATCATGCTATGTAACAAAGGAAAAGTGAAGAACAAAACTTTCATTCTTGAGGTTACACTTTAACGAACCCCGAAATAACGGAAAGGAAATCATTGTAGCTATTTTTAAGTTATTTTTATGACGCTGTTCCAGGTAGTTCACCTTACGTTTCTTCCTGTTCATGTAAATCTTAAACTTTTTCTTTAAGTTTCGTAATTTGTTTTTCCGGGACCTGAAGAAAAAAAAGCACGTGAACACATTGAATGCTATCTGTATAGCAGAACATTAGGGATTCCAACACAATCATAGAGTTGGCTTAGGCTATGCCGCATATTTCTAACGCAACACCAAGTGTTGTAATGGTTAAAGACGACAACTTTACAGTATACACGATAAGTCCTAGGCTAGCCTAGCCTGTGCGGTTTAGTCTAGTCACGTGCTCTTTGTTTATGTCCAACGGCTCTGTTTTTGTTCCGTACCTGTCGCTTCTTGAACAGCAGTAGGCTATTCAAACAAATGAACGGACTCTTATATTTCTACGACTTAACTATGGCGTATTATGCAAGTCATTTTAACTATTATTTATTTTAAAAAAAGTGTTTAACTATTAGCCTAGCAATTCGATTGTTGATATCAAGAACATACATTTGTACTAGTAACCACGTAATTGACATAAAACATATGATATAAATTTACTAGGCCTGTATTTCTTATTTGTGAAAATGGAACTAAGAAATCAATTATTGGTATTAACTGAATTTGGATTGCAGCTTTTTAGAATTATTTAACTAGTGAAAATACAGATATCAAGAAGTATAGTTTTTTTGTTTATTAAATTATTACAGAATCAAGATTTCTTATTATATTTGAATGATGACGTCATTGTCAATTTTAAGAATTAACATTTTACTCGTGGAAATGTAATTATCAAAAAGTGCCATTGTTAGAAATCGAATTACTGATATCAAGTTTTTTTTTTACTAGTGAAAATTGAATAACTGTGTATAACTGATCTCTTCTTCCATTGGTCAGAGGCATTGATAAGTGTTGTGTCGTCATCATCCCAGCGCCTTCCAGTCCCAACGGCAGCCCGTTAAAGTTCTGCTTTAAATGAAAATAATTGCATAAAGGCGAAAGTTAAAAATGGATTTTATTTACGTCATAAATCTTCAAATACAGTAAAAACCCTTCTAGATGTTCCCGCGTTTCGTGAGGAGAAGACTAGAGTTTATAAACACAGAACAATCAATGACGATTGAAGCCACGAAAGTACAGTGAGTTTATAACGGTTAAGATGCGAATCAGAGCACATAAACCTAGCCTACAATGGTACCCTGGTGTTCTTCTACACAATCTTTAAGCAAATTTCCTGAAAATGATTGAAACCTCAAAGCTACAGACATTCTTCTACTCAAAGTTTTGCAAGTTGAGATTGTAGTATCAGCAATCCACCACAAGAGGGAAGTATACATCTGACTAAACATCAGTGCCTGGACACAAAGTTGGCCAGCTCGTGGACATGCAACTCAACTGTTTAAGGTTTGTTCCCTCTTCATTCCTCCACCGTCGCAAAAATGTATTATGCCGTGTGTGTGTGTGTCTGTGTGTCTTTGTGTGTCTCTGTGGACAAAATGTCCCCACAAAGATGGCAATATCCAAAATCCTTGTTGTTCTTGCGGACATTTGTTTTTAGTCCCCTTGAGGAAAACAGCTTATAAATCATACCAAGACTTAACTACGTGGTTTTTTGAAAATATAAAAATGCAGAAAAATGTCTGTGATGGGTAGGTTTAGGGGTAGAGTTAGTGTAAGGGGACATAATATACCGTATTTAGTATAAAAATCATTGTCAAATGGAAAGTTCCCATAAAACATGAAAAAATGGGGGGAAAACACTGTGTGTGTGTGTGTGTGTGTGTGTGTGTGTGTGTGTGTGTGTGTGTGTGTGTGTGTGTGTGTGTGTGTGTGTGTGTGTGTGTGTGTGTGTGTGAATAATACGTCCAACATAGCTGTCAAAGCAGATTAGTTTCAGAATGTTTACCAGACACACACTCACTCAGACAAAATATGCAAATTCTTTGCAAAGGCATTGCAAGTGCGTTCTATACCAACATACATTGTTGTGATACTGTGGCAGTTTCTAAGGAAATCTAATGTACCTGAAGAATATACTATATATATATATATATATATATATATATATATATACACACACAGTATCCATCAATATGGCATGACATGAACACTAAAGCCCATTTTGGAAGATGTCGTGGACAAAGTACTTCTGCTATTCACTGAAGTTCACCCTCATGTCATTTCAAAACTATACTAATTTCTTTTTTTCTGGACAAAAGTTAAGCAGAATTTCTGACATGATCCTTTCCATATGCTTGATTACAAAGGAAATAAGATAGGGCTGTCAAGCTCCAATTTTTTTATTTATTTAATTTATTTTAATTATATTTATTATTTTTAAATTCTTCATTAAGAATGCTTTCATCATTTTTGGAGCGCAGCAGCATCATTTCACTTTCATTGTATTTATTAGAAATTCTTTTCTCATTTTGTGTTCAAAATGAGCCTCATATACATTTGGAGCAACATGAGAGTGAGTAAATAATGTTAGATAGTTTCAAAACACAGATGCCTCATTATTTACAATTGTTTGGCCAAACATTGGGCTGAAACGTCACACTTTCACCAGTGTTAGTGCTAGTGACACTTGTGTATTGTAGTAGGTGAAAGTGTTAGTTTTATCAGAGGATGCAATAGCATTTGGGAAGGTTTTATCACTCTCGAGGCCTCGCGTGGTTGTTCAGTGAAGTGACCCGGATTCTGAAGCAAAGTGGTGGAGGTGTTGTCGAGTGGGAAAGGGTGGGGGGGGGGGGTCTTGTATGATGAGAGTGGATTAGAGATAGGGGGGTGGGGGGTATGGGTGATGCAGTTTTGCAGCTGTGCGTGTGCTTCTGTGTCTGTGTGTGATTACAGGGGGGCAGGAAAGGTTCAGAAGTGTTGGAGCAGAAAATCTCTCTTCTCTCTCCTCCTCCTCTTTCTCTTTCTGTCACCGGGCCAGACGTAAAGCAACAGCAATTTGTGCGATTT